TAGTCCATGAGCTGGAACTCCACAGCTTCTTCAACCAAGCCAGGATGGAAAACAACAGCAAACTAATGAATGAGTGAAGGACGAGGTCAGGCAGGCTATTTTCAAAAGCAGCCGGTCTCTTTTGCTTGTCCTTCTAAAGCAGATCACCCACCCACACACCCTCTGGACACCAACTTCCCAGAGAATCCGCTCAGCCCCATAAAACAGAGCAAAACTCTTCTTCTTCTTACTCTCAAGCTTCCTCTTTCCGATATGTATCCCGAAGATGGACAGTGATAAATATGTATGTATTTATATGTATGGGAGTAGGTGTGTGTGTGTGTGTGTGTGTGTGTGTGTGTGTGTATACACACACACACATACACACACGATATATATCAATGTATATAGCATGGGTATATGTGTTATGTATGTGTACACTTTTGAGAACAGGCACCAGAATTTCATTTTTAATGTGTGCCAGTGCGCCGACAATAAAAAAAATGACAATAAAGGGTGTCTATCTATCTATCTATCTATCTATCTATCTATCTATCTATCTATCATCTATCATCTATCTATCTATCTATCTATCTATCTATCTATCTATCTTAACTCTATCTATCTCTAATTCTATCTCTATATCTATCTAACTCTATCTATCTATCTCTAACTCTATCTAACTTTATCTATCTCTATCTCTATCTCTATCTCTATCTCTAACTCTATCTCTATCTCTATCTCTAACTCTATCTATCTATCTATCTATCTATCTATCTATCTATCTATCCATCCATCCATCCATCCATCCATCCATCCATCCATCCATCCATCCATCTCTAACTCTCTCTATTATCTATCTTTCATCCAAAAAAACACCAGCTTTTCTCTGAATTCTTCAAATGGCATCCAGATGTGAGGGAATGCCTGCCCTCCAAACCTTCTTCCACACATCCAGGTAGGTCCTTGACTTACAACAGTTTGTTTAGAGACCATTCAAGGTTACAACAGCACTGAAAAAAGCAACGTATGACTGTTTTTCACACTTATGACCATTCCTGTGGTCACCTGACCAAAATTCAGAAACTTTTAGCGGCTGACATGTATTTATGACGGTTGCTGTGTCATGGGGATCTATTGCCCTTTGTGACCTTCTGACAAGCCAATGGGGAAGCCCAATTCACTTAACAAATTGGGTTACTAACTTACTTATGCAGTGATTCGCTTAACAACTGTGGCAAGGAAGATCGTAAAATAGGTCATAAATCTCACTTAACCACACAAAAGATGGGTTTCGTTTGTGGGTCGTAAGTCGAGAATGACCTGTGTGCACTGAACGACAATTTATTCAGGCCGACAAGGCACAGGGCCCAGCCGATGGGAAAAACACGAACCTATGTGCAACTGTAGAGAATCTACAAGCCCTCATTCTCCAACTGTAGATAGTCTACAAGCCGTAATCCTCAAAAAAGGTGGAGGACTATTCCGGAAAGCCATCTAAGGCAGGGGTCTCCAACCTTGGCAACTTTAAGACTTGTGGACTTCAACTCGCAGAATTCTGGGAGTTGAAGTCCACAAGTCTTAAAGTTGCCACGGTTGGAGACCCCTGATCTAAGAGATCGTTGGTGAAGACAGTGAATCTGACTTACAGCGGAAACAAGATGTCTTTTTAATTCCCAGGTTGGCATCTGTAGCAAAGGCAACCATAGATCCTTTGTCAGAGATCTGGTTGCAATTCAGAACGCGGCCCATTCAGAAAAGGCAGCTTCTACCCACTTCAAAAACATAGGAAAGCGGGGAGGGAAGCAGGGGAAAGGGGAAAAAAAGGGAGAGGAATGTTTACTTTTCTGTAAACCATCCCCTATTTAAACTTCAGTAAGTTATTACAACTTTTCATTGCAGATAAAAAGTAGCCCAGATGTCTGATAACTGCTCATTAAAAAAAAACCCTGTTCAAATACACTTTCCAGCAAGCTATCTCAAGGGTGCAAAGACAAAAAAGAAAGAAAGAAAGAAAGAAAGAAAGAAAGAAAGAAAGAAAGAAAGAAAGAAAGAAAGAAAGGAAGGAAGGAAGGAAGGAAGGAAGGAAGGAAGGAAGGAAGGAAGGAAGGAAGGAAGAGGGAGGGAGGGAGGGAGGAAGGAAGGAAGGATGGAAGAAAGAAAGAGAGAGAAAGAAAGAAAGTCAAGAGTTAAAATGAACATTTAGCACTTTAAAGAACTCCTATGTCGAATTTTGGCGGGTGTGATCACAGATCCACATTTTAGAACAGGGAACCTCCGTTGCAAATGCTTCTACTTGTCTTTCTAGCTAGGGAAAACTTTCAAAAATTGTTCCAGATTTATCAGAATTCTTTTCCTTTGTCCGCTAAAGCAATCCTTCCTCTTCCTTAAACGTACTTGCAAAATTATCATTAACCGTACTAGGCTGGGTTGGGTTCATCTAGGTTCTCTCCAAGGGAAGGCCAAACTGACAGAGACAATACAGAATAAGAGAGAGGAGATCAACTATTGCAAGGATGAAAACTTTCAGAGAAAACATCTTTTTTATTATTTTTTCCTCCCTGGAAAGTTATCTAAGACTTCTCTCTTAAGAAAGCATTCTGCTAACCAGGCGAGCAATGTGATTTCCTGCCCCCCCCCCCGCCCCCCCAAAAATCCCCACCCTTCCTTTACAGCAGCAGACCAGACAATCTGAGATGTTATCAATTCACAAACCTTTTAAAAAAGAGGCTCCTTTTAAAAGCTAGTCTTCGTTTGCTTATTTCATGTGGTATCCTGCGGAACTGAACCCCACCCTCTGGCATATTTCTTTTTCTTTTCCCATCTCCTTTCCTACTATTTAGCCTTCTTATTGTAGAGCCTAATTCTTCTTTTTCGGTAAAGCTTTTTTCTTCTTCTTCTTCTTTCCCTTAAACTTTCTTCTACGCGGCTCTGTTTCAATAAGGTTGAAAGAGAATACATGTTTTTTTAAAGCAGGGTGAGGAGAAAATCCTTCTCTTTTTTTTCCGCTTTTCCTTCTGATTAATTCTTACTAGCTGCCTTTGAAAACACAGAATCCTCTCAAATAACACGGCTGAGGGTATATATTACATTAGGAAGAGAAAAGAACAGCAAACAAGATGCACGTAAACACAACTCACGGCTGAAAGCCATTCTTAAGGTTGCAAAGCCCACACATACAAACAGACACACAAATAGTGAGTACACTTGCTGGGGGGGGGGAGGGGAGAAGTGGGGAGGGGGGAAGGATGGTCTTTCCACATTCCAGTTGTAAACTAATGAATGGGAGTACGGCTCTTCTATAAATCCAACTAGGATTCCTTGGCCAAAGAAAACTAACTTTCAATAGGTGCACGCAAGTCCAGGCGAGTATTTTTGGGGCATTAAGCAAAAAAAGCTATTAAGGGTTTGCACGCTGCATCACCAAGAGAAAAATGGGAGAAACTACAATGCCTTCCGTGGGATGGGGGTTGGTTACTCAAGACTTCCTCTAGAATATTGCTTTCTCAACCTTAGATAGGTGGACTTCAGCTCCCAGCATTCCCCCAGCCAGTAGGGTGCTCCTCAGGGGGGGGTAATCTTAAAATGTTCTTTTTCCACGTTCTCCTCCTCCTCCAGAAATCCACCATTCCCAGATTAAATTGCAAGCCACCAAAACGCCTTACACCCAAACCTTAATCACCAGAAGCCAGCCTCAACTTGCAAACTTGCAAAAAGCAGGAGCCTGCTCTGGCACACCCTTTAACAGTGGACAGTATATAATTTAGCTCTCTGTGCATAAATCACATAGGCAGACGTTTGCCTTCAGCTAACTGTGGTACTGCCAGCCTGCCAGCATCTTTGTCTAGGCTCACATACAGCTCTCAACAAGGGAGGACAGATAGAGAAGCTTGTAAGACCAGAAATGTGATATATGACCAACTTAATTCCACAGCTGGTAAAACTCGGTCTTACAGCCCTGCAACCTGAGGCCAGCCAGATATTGCTGAACTACAGTTCCCAGCATTCCCATAAATGGCTATTTTTGCTAAGGACGCCGGGAAGTATGAAACAAAATTGAAAGGTAGACAGACCACGCTACAGAAAACTCACCCGTGTTCCTGGCCTGTATAACTAAAGTGCAACACATTTAAAAATGCTCAGAAATAATCCAAATCTGGAACATCCAAGGTAACTATTCTCTTGAGGCTAGATTTTCATACACGTTCTTAAAAACTGGAAGTTTTTCAGATATGGGCCTGTGGGGGAACGAGACTTCTTGCAGAAAGGCAAAATAATGGTGACCTATTTGCAACCTTTCATGAATATGCAACAGAGGATTTCAAATCACAAGCAAAAAGCAGACTTGATTTATGTTTGAAAAACAGAGGAAATTCTGCACAACAATTCCATTCCACATCTGCTCATTGATGAGATCCATCAGTGCGCTCACACACTTCATTAGTTTGACTTTCTCTTCATTCCCAACACTGGTGAACATACAACAGCTGTCCACCCCTGATGTCCACAGATGGTACAATCACTTCCAACATTTCTAACCCCCTCCAAAGGAAAACTCCTGCTAAGATTTTCATTCCTGGAAAAGCATTAGATCTATTCTATCAGGCAACAGAGGTTACACCAGGATGCTGCTTACAACACAGATTCACAACTAGATGGCAAAGAGCCAACAAGATGAATGTTTCTCAACTTTTAAAAGTCTACTTTTAAGATGCCTGGAGTACAACTCCCAGAATTCCCCAGCCAGCTAGGAGGTTGAAGTCCCCCCATCCTAAAGTCAACACAGTTAAGAAACACTGCTCTAGAGTAGCATTTCCCCATCTTACCAACTTTAAGATAATTGGACTTCAACTCCCAGAATTCTCCAGCCAGCATGGCTGGCCGGGGAATGCTGGGAATTGGAAGTCCACCTATGTTAAAGTTGCCAAGCTTAGGGACACTGCTCCAGAGGTCCAACCTCCTTTGTTAGAAAAAAAAAACATATAACAACAGAAGGGTACTGAAGAGATCTTGATTCTTACCTGTGAGCCCCTCAGGGGCCAGAAAATTAGTTCCCCTCGTTTCGGTGGAAGAAGGCACAGGCTCTGGACAACTCGCTGCAAGACAAAAACGAATGCAAGAAATAAGTATGACTTGACATACTGCCCCCTAATACTTTAAAGCCCAATACAGCCCAATATAGCTAAATGAAGCACATTCCACAGAGTTTACTAGGAAGCGATTACTAATTGTCTGCTCAGGCCTATGTTTCATGCAACATCCACCCTCGATCTTCAGCACCACGTCTGCTCCATCGTTAGTCAAAGAGACGAAGATTATAGACTGGCTGAAAGTCATCCTCCCTCCCAATGCACAACCCCTTTCTTCGGTTCAACTGGTTTTGTTTTCTTGAGTCAACCCTGGGCGACCGAATTCCATTTTGCTGAACCGAAGCTGAGAAATCCGGAAGGAATTTTTCATGGCTACTCCAATGGTCTTCTCAATTGAGAAACTCAGCCAACCTAGATGGCTGAAAGGAGAGAGAGTGTATTCCCAAAGACGTTTCATACTTAAAAAACAATTTCTCTTTTCTCAATACAAGGTAGTCCTCGAATTACAATCATTCATTTAGTGTCCGTTCGAAGTTTACAATGGCACTGGAAAAAAAGTGAACGCTGACCGTTGTTTTGCACGACTATTGCAACCTGCCCGTGGTCACGTGATCAAAATTCAACCGCTCGGCACCTGACTCGTATAAATGACAGTTGCTGGGATCAAGCGATCCCTTTTTGCAACAACCTTCTGACAAGCAGAGTTAACGGGGAAACCAGATTTACTTAACAACCATGTTACTAAGTTAACAACTGTTGTGATTCACTTAACAATTGTGGCAAGAAAGGTCGTAAAAGAGGTCAAAATTCACCTAACAACGGAAATTGTGGGGCTCAATTGTGGTCATAAGTCGAAGACTGACTGTGTTTCTGTGAGAATTGCCTCTTCTCCCTATATGTTAAAGTATGGTCAACTTACTCTTTGTCCTATTCCAAATATGCTTCCCCATCAAATCATTGGAAAGCGTAATCTTTTAAAGCCGAGGCCAGGAAAAATATATAAATTAGAAGTTGATTTATCTATCGCTGTGCCCAGCCAAAACCACTGGCACTTGGTCAATATGGCTACGTAAATTTGAAAGACATACTTTAGAACGGCCTATTTTTAAACAACCGAAAATTAGTTTTCCGATAATTGCATTCCTTCTTTCACAGATATGGAAACTTTTCTTTTATGCCCGTGACATTCCACAATCTCCTTTTTATCGGAGTTAAGTATAACCCTGAACAGGAATATACAGTTGAACAGGATGCACTTAATCAAACCGAAAACAATGGAACATACAGGAAATTGAGTTACTTGTGAAATACTGTAGACTTTCTCAATGTGTGGCATTTCAGCGGTCTAAGGAAACAGCTATTTTATAATTAAAACTTTAACGAAGGGGGAAAAAGTGGCTGGCAAATAAATGCTTTGGAGGGAGACTTCCCTTAACCAAGGATCTAGGCCTCATTGAGGTAGTTTGGGTAATAATACCACCTCATAACAACGGGTAAATTAATGAGAATGAAACTCAAAAATCTTCAGCTAAGTATTCCTTAAGCAGCAGTGTGTACCAAGAAGAGAGCAGCTACAAAGAGGGTGTGTGTGAGAGAGAGAGGGAGGGAGGGAAGGAAGGAAGGAAGGAGGGAAGGAGGGAGGGAGGGAGGGAGGGAGGGAGAGGGAGAGGGAGAGGGAGAGGGAGAGAGGGAGGGGGAGAGAGAGAGAGAAGACGAAGTGCTGAATGGAGTATTGGAATTTAGGCTTCTCCTCTTCGGAAGTTGTGTGATGTCATTTGTACAAAAGGGGTGGGGCTTATACGATGTTGCTCCATCCCACACCTTGGCCATTTCCCCTCTCCCTGGACACCTGAGTCTGCCTTTCACTTTGCACCCTTCAGCTATTTTTATCACTTGTAACCCCCATCATGCACAATGTCTCACACATGCAACGGATTTAAAATACTGGGGAAGGTCCGCAGTCTTCCTCTCTCGCTCTATGCACGCCAATACTTTTTCTTTAAAGTAGGGACAGAAATTCAGAGACCCAAAATGGCACAGAACGTTCAAACTCGCAGGCCCAATATATAACGGCTTACTTTAACTATTCACAGATAGTCCTCGACTTACAACAATTGGTTTAGTGACTGCTCAAAGTTACAACGGCACTGAAAAAAGCGACTTAGGACCGTTTTTCACACGACCGTTGCTGCTTCCCCCATGATCGTATGATCAAAATTTGGATGCTTGGCACCTGACTCGTATTTATGACGGTTACAGTGACCCAGGGTCATGTGATCATCTTTTGTGACTTGGGTTGCCCAGCACCCAATTTTGATCACCTGGGATTGCTGGAATAGTCAGTCCCAAGTGCAAATGACCAGTCATGCGTCAACTTTTTTCAATGACGTTGTAACTTTGAATAGTTATTAAATGAATGGTTGTAAGTCAAGGACTACCTATCACTTCTGCCCAATATGAGGATTTGCTTTGGGTTTAAGGTTCCTGATTTGCATGGAAAGGGCAAATCAGTAAATCAAAATCAAATATAAAAGTCTTAACTTAGGTTTTACATATGCAACTTTACATGAAATCAATTAATGCCTTGAAGAACCATCAACCGATGACTCACATGGTTAAATCCGCTAGGACAGATCCTAATGATACAAGAGGATTTTCACCTAAGCAGATCTATTAAAATTTAGGCTGCAAGATCTGTAGATCACTAGATAGAAGCAAATAATAATAACGGTTTTGTGTCTCTTGCTTTGCCCTGGTTTTTGACCAGAATTTAGCAGCCAGATAAGGCAGCTTTACACATGAGTAAACAGCGTGCTAGTTCAGCTTTTAACAATCAGCTTCTGCATCAAAGTGAAACTAGTGAAAATACCCCAAACCATCAAGGTGAAAACAGTGAAAGTGAAAACATGAGGTAACAGCATGATAAGATTTCACCCATCATGAGGAAAATAGAAATGCACAACAATAATGTGAAATACCTGCATCAATTTGTCTCTCAGTCCCTTTTCAAGAAGACCACACTGGTATCTTTTTGGTCATCTGCACATAGTTATAATAATTTACCATCCTGTTTTACTTCTCTTGTCTTTAAAAAAAAAACTATTTTAATTGCACACATTTGAATATTATATTCGATTACTCTGAGATTTTACAGGCTCTTTTAAAAGGTTTTAGAACACCCCGACCTGGGGGAAATACCTCATGTTTATCTATCTCACAAGAACAGGTTATTGGGAGGAGCTGTATATGGTGTCCTCCAGTTGCTAATTTCAAGAACAGGATTTTGTAGTGATGGCGAAACAACTATCATCAATGAGGTGAAGGCCTATTTTGGTAAAGGAAAATTGCCAAAACAATGTCAATTTTGACTTAATTCAATGGGTTCATTATCGGCTTACAGCAAGCAGAATTAAATCTAGTATGCAACTTCTAATTTTAATGCTTTTCTTGCTTTCAGACGCAAAAAGTAACCTCCAATCAAGATAGTCCTTGATTTACAACAATTTTGTTTAGTGACGGTTCAAAGTTACAATAGCACCGAAAAAAGTGACTTACGACTACAGACAGATGAGGCCATCTTTCACAAAAATTTTCCTGATTTAATCATTGGACAGTCCTTTACTGGTATCTGAAAAAGGATCGTGTTTAGACTCCACAGTTGCTAATATTAAACTACTTAAATTAAGTGTTATGGCTTTCTTAGAGTCCACAAGAAGCCATCCTGTATAAAGCATTTAGAGTGACTAACGCTTCACTCAACACTTCATCTAAAAACATTCCTGACAGAAAGGGGATCTTGCGCCAGGATGCTGAGAACAGACTGAGAAGAATTAAGATTCTCTGCAATATGGTATCAAATAAACCCTTCAGTCAAATAAATCCTTCTTTAGATGGGAGAAATAGGGAAGAAGGAAAAAAAGGCAAGAATAGAGAATTCTCCAGAATGATAGATAGATAGATAGATAGATAGATAGATAGATAGATAGACAGACAGACAGACAGATAGATAGATAGATAGATAGATAGATAGATAGATAGATAGATAGATGGATGAGAGAGAGAGACAGAGACAGAAAGAGAAAGAGAGAGGTAAATAATAATCTCATGCACACATGAAGTCACAAATGCATTTACTTTAAAACACTGTTTCTCAACTTCCGCAACTTTAAGGTATGTGGACTTCCAGAATTCCCCAGCCAGCCATGAAATCCACACATCTTAAAATCCCTGAAATTGAGAAACAATGTTTGAAAGTTTGGAACTGCTAAGCTCAAGAGCGTAGCTGCACAATGGGGTTCAAATGCCCTGTCTTGAAAATAATATAACACCTCAACAACTTTTCAGATTTACTATGTGTCCACTTCTGAAGTTCTGGAAATCAGTGTCTTCAAAAGCTATCTTTCCAAAGAGAAAATCAAAAGGCCAGCTTTGATTGCAGCCACAGTTTTGCCTTTTCCGAAACCCCCTCAACGTCTCCCTCTTAGAAATCTTAACTTTTTTCTCCATGTTCACTTTTGACGCACACCAAATGCTACTTTTGCATCAATGAGTTGATTAAATCCACACCATTTGGACATAACTGGTGTCTGGCATAGTTAAAAACGTGTGAGCTAACTGCTACAGGCCTTCATTGATAGAGCCTTGGAAGAGCTCTTCCTCCATATGGTTAATATAGTGCTCTATAAAAAAAAAGAAAAAACGGCTCCGGAAATGAACTTTGAATCTTCAAAACAGTCTTAACTACTACACCAACCCGAATTCTTCCCATGCAGGAAAAAGGAAAACTGTTCCTCTGAATTCAAACCATTTCTTTAGCAACACACTTTGGGTTTCAAGCACCCAGGGTGGAAAAAGTGAGACCCCCTTGCAAAATTTGCAAGAGAATAAAAGACAGACAATTTCCTTACTCGCTCTCCTCACAATGGCCTTGATTAAACAGGAAGTTTGATGAGAGTCAGAGGTTATAATAACCACCTGCAGTGACAGACTTATGAATTATTTTTGTCTCCTATTCAGGGCTCCACTGCCAAATGGGTTTTGAGGAAGAGAAAGAGTCCTCCGGACGCTTCTTTGCTTTTTTTTACACTTCCGACTGGCTCTATTAATCACTTCCCATTAGCCAATATGCAGAACTTTTCCTTTCAAAAAAGAAAAAAAAAAAACGGCATTGTCAAGGTTTGTGGTTTCTTTTGACTGTTTACATGCACCATTCATTACTGAATAAATATTGCTCTCTAAGTTGAGAAGCAGGAGGGAGGTTTAAACACCTGCTCCTAGATTTTATCCAAGCATCTTTACCACAAACAAAAATGGATAGCCCCCTTCTGCTGTTATTTTTTCCCCAATGTGACTGGCTACTGGCCACACTTTTCGAATGTCTGTTCAGAGACAACTGATGCTAAAAAAGGATGGGGGGGGAGAAAGGTTTTCCTTAAAACCTCCCAAGTTTTAACCACTTTTACATGTAAGCCTTGGACAGCAAAGGTGACTAACAAACAAGTACTGGATGGAGAGCGTAACACCAGATATGTCACTAGAAGGCAAAATCACAAAAATTGCATCTCACTTAATGTTGGCCATATCATGGGAAGGGACTGACTGGAGAAAGAAACGATGTTTGGAAGAGTTGGCAGTACTAGGCCGCCCAAGAACACTTTGGCTGGACATCATCAAAGGGGGCCCAGCCAGAGCATAGAAAAACTCATAGTAGCGCAAGAGCTGAAGATGTGGCGCAGGGGTCCCCAAACTTGGCAACTTTAAGACTTGTGGATTTCAACTCCCAGAATTCTCCAGCCAGCTATTCTGGGAGTTGAAGTCCACAAGTCTTAAAGTTGCCAAGTTTGGAGACCTCTGATGTGGGGAGACCTGGCCCATAGTATCGTCAAGAGTCAGACACAACTAAATGGATAATATCCCTTTTCCTCCTCCTCCTCCTCATCTGTAAACCAATATAACAGCTAAAATGTGGGTCTAGGCAACCCTGAGCCAGCCCATTCTCTGTCAGGTGAACCCTGCCTCTTTATTTGTGAGGTAAAACTACAGGAGCACCACTTGACCGATAAAGCTATCAAAGACGTGAGAAAGTTATGCCTTTTTTTGGTACATTTTCATACATTCATATTTCATATTCCAAGCACAAATGTTTGGGATTGGAAAGTTCCTCAGCAGCCAACAGAAATCAAGACAGAAGAACTGGACAGAGGGGAAAGAAGCACAAGATGAGATATAGATCCCTTGAGGTTCCCGTCTCTTTCCCCTACAGAGCTCATCGAAGTAAACCTTGGGTTATCCATTACCAAATAAGTTAGGTTCAGTTGTTTTCAAACTTGACAGCTTTAAGTCTTGTGGACTTCAACTCCCAGAAGTCCTCCTCCAGTTACGTTAGCTCAGGAATTCTGGGAGTTGAAGTCTTAAACTTGCCAAGTTTGAAGACCCTTGAGTTAGTTGCAGGAATACCATCTGATCTTAGATGGCCCTCAGCTCAATTTAGGTGGAACCTTAAGGAATCTACTCAGATTTTTACCTAGAAGATTCCCCAAGACCACCTACCAATAGTAGCTCAGCATAAGGAGAACTTGACCTCTTCTCTTGCTTTGCATTCATTTCGTTTCAGCTGTGGGGTGAATCTCAGTCAACTGTGATTAATGCAATAAATCCTACTTTTTAGCAAACCAAGACGTGTGAATCCAATCAGGACAAGGTACCTCCTTGAGTGCCTCAAAATTAAAAATCAGTATCCTTTGCCTCTCACACAAACACAGAAATCTCCTCCCCAAATTCTCTTCATCACAGCAGCCTTGTTGCTATAGCTAGCCAGAAATTCTTTGTGATCTACTGTTAAATCACACAAGGAATTACCAGAAGATCCAGATCTTCCAATCCCTGAGGCAGAGTTGCTTGATCAACTGCAACACTTCTCCTGCCCAAGTCACAACAGAAAGTTCACAAGGCCACAACAGTGTACAGTAAACACACATCCCAAACTTGTTTCAAGATCAGCAGTCTTAATGAACTACAACTCTTGCAAACACTGCCAATGACGAGGATGTTGGGAACTGTAGTCTAGCAGCAACTGCCTTTGCTATATTTAGGCCTGTCTGGCTTTAAAATCTCCCATCTTCGGTTACCTGTTCACCTCTCTCCATAATCCTGTAGGCCGCAAGATGCTAACCCACATATAATTGTTTGCAAGCAATCTCATTTCACAAGGGGGTGAGAAGGGAAGCATGGATAAATGGTATATCTAAGCCACATCTTGAGGACTCATCTACAACACGGAAATGTCACAACAGGCCATGAGATCAAGGCCATCAAGAAGTCCCAGTGAGGATGTATACAGTAGAGTTTGTGGAACTCTATTCTGCAAAACTCAATTGACACCTTAGCAAGATACATGAAAAGACTTTGTGCAACTGACCAACAGAATAAATGCTACCCACTCACCTCCTTTAAAAGAAAATAAAGGGATGGAAATAAACTTGTTCCCCCCATCGATGTATTCAAGATGGCTCCTACAGCTACCAAAATTACCACCAGTCCTCAACTTACAACAATTCACTTACAACAATTTGTTTAGTGACCATTCAAAGTTGCAACGGCACTGAAAAATGTTGACTTATGACCCTTTTTCACACTTATGACTGTTACAGCATCCTCACAGCTGCGAGGCTTGGCAACTGACTCATATTTATGACAGTTGCAAAATATAAATTATATAAATATAATATATAAATATAATTATATAAATATAACTCACTTTAACACATTTAACACATTTCTCATTTAGCAATTTTGGGGTCAATTATGGTCATAAATTGAGGGCTTCCTGCATTCAATAAACATCGCATTTTTCCTAATCCCAACTTGTCAAGAAAATTAGCTCATCCCTGGAGCGCATTACCTCATTTCTGGATCCTTTTTCTGGTCATACAACAATGTGACCAATCATTGGGAACTTGATAACCCCTAACTTGTTTCTTAGGACAGATCAACACTTCCTTTTCAAGCTGTTTCATCTAACTGTAATCTTCCAACCTTCCTACTGGATAAACTTGGCAGAGGCAGTCCCAGTTCTCATATCCTTCCTTAGCATGGTCCCTTATGCCAAAGAACTCACAATGTACATACAATAGTATCAAAGACGGGTCACCCAATGTTTTTCAAGGACATTTAAATTGGGCAAGCTTAATCAGATTCCGAGAACAAAGCAATCGTTGTCCTTTTTTGAGGGGGATGAGTAAGGATGAGAAAGGTAGGTGACAAGCATGAGTTTGTAAGAGGATCTTTCTGAGCCATGCCCAACTTACCGCCTTCCCTAACATTAGGGTGTAATCAGTGCAGACAACCTCTCTGTAATCTCTATTTTTGCTCCATTAATTGTCAGAAGAGATATGAAGTGGCTTTGTGGAATTTTATTTCTCCTCCCTTTGACTGCATCCACATTTCTGGTGTTCCCACCACCACCGCACTGACTCTCTCTCCCTCTTTTCCACAATGCCAGCCTATTTATCTAGCAGAGGGTGAGCCTGCTGCCAGCCAAAAGTTTATGCAGACAACCGCAAGAGCGCTTGGTGCCAGCCTCAAACGGGCTTCTACCTTGGCAGTTTGCCACTCAATTACAAGCAACAAGCATGCCGAGCAAACTGTGCTAAAAACATCCGAGTGCTTCTTTGCAATTTTTTTTAAAAAAATACTTTATTTGGGCCCAATGAAATGCAAAACAGAAGGTTTCAGGAAATGCTGCTTACCTGAAAGTTCACTTCTAGGATTAGTCATTTTTTTTAAAAAAAAATTAAAACATTCCAATTGTTCCAGATATTATAAAAATAAAGTTGACAGGAAGCTATGAACTTTCATTTTGCATCTTAATCGATTATGAATTTTCTTTTCATTTTCCAAAAGAAGAGTCTGAAGGTCCCAGATACAATCCTATAGTCACCTAACTTGACAGAGCATCTGAGCTTACTTCTAAGTAAACAGTCAGAAATCCTCATAGATGATTTAAATAATTCCCCTGCATAGTGCAGAAGGCTGAACTAGATGATCTTTTAAGGTTCCTTCCAACTGTAAAAGGCCATATAAAAGTGCAGATGCCTTATTGCATCTCAAGAGGACTTGGTTAAACTAAAAAAAAAAAAAAAAAGAATAGCACCAAAGACACACCTATAAAATCCAACTTAACTCCTAGAATTTATAAACTTTGACTGCAATCCTATATCTATAGACCCAGGCATGAGCTCTTTAGAACATGGATTTGTTGCAGTAAACAGGAATCTACAAAAACAGCCCTTGTAAAAAGAACTCAAGACAGCCCTTTTATTCAGGAGTCAAGCTCACTTATTGCAATGGGAAATCCTTCCGATTAACTGGGCAAACCCACAGCAAATGAAGAGCTAAAAAGAGCAAAATAACAGCAGCAATACAGTCATAAAAAATCAAGGGTTCGGAATAAGGGAGGAAAGAGAGAGAAAAAGAGAAAGAAAGAGAAAGAAAGAAAGAAAGAAAGAAAGAAAGAAAGAAAGAAAGAAAGAAAGAAAGAAAGAAAGAAAGAAAGAAAGAAAGAAAAGAGAAATGAATAAAGAAAAACTTCCCACTCAACATTTAAGTTTTACTTAGTTTAAAAAATCCATTCTACTTACCTGTTGGTTTGAGAAAATCCATTGGGTATCTGGAGTAAGGAGGAGGGGGAGACTCTGCAATAGAAAAGTACAGAGAAAATAAAATCAGAGCCATGAGAAGGGAGGGAGGGGGGAGAGATAGGAACTTATGATAAGAGAGGCATTCTTGTAACAAAACTGTTTGTCTTAGCCTGGCGCTTGGAGGCAGGGCAACTTGGCGGTAACTGCCTTGATATTTAACCGCCAGATAAACAAAGGGGCCTCACTGGCGCCAGCTCTTGCGCTATCTCTGCTCCCGTAGCTGTCTCGGCAGGGGCTTTTTCTGGCTGTACCCAAGCGCTCCAGTCCTGGAAATCGCCCATTGATCCAGCGCTCCCGATAATCCCAACCAGCTTACTTGCAAATGCAATTTAACCCACCAAAAAAAAAAAAAAAAAGGGGGGGGGGGGGGGGGGGGGGGGGGGAAAGAGGCAAGGCTGCCCACTAATGGGGTTTAAACCTACCAAAGCAAGCCTCTCCTTTACAGATCATGAACTTAACCCCCCCCCCCTTTAAAAAAAAGGAAGGGGAAAAAAACAAAAGACCCTTTGCAATTTCAATCATACTGTGGGGAGATTGTCTTTCTTCTCTCTATCCCACGCAAACACCACCCCCGCTTTTTTTAAATTTTATTTTATTTTAGCCAATGGTGGAAACTTAAAGGCACACTTGGCAAAGAGGAGAAAAGCAAACAAGATTGAAGGCCTGGAAATTATGTGTTAGCTTTTATAGTTTTGAGGCAAGAGAGGCCCAAGAGGCGGGAGGGCACTGAAGATGCAAGGAGCCAGCCAGCCAGCCAGCCAAGGGTTGGAAGGCTTTTGCTAAAATGGCAAGATTTGTGTATTAAAACTAGAAAATGCTGGAAGGGATTTTTTTTTTTTTTTTGCAAAAGCCTTCAGATTTAATTTTATTTTTAAATTACATACACCCTGGGCTTTTTTTGCACAAAACACTGCAGTTGCCTGCCTGCCCCTGGTTGCACCACCCCTTTTAAAAATAATTTGCTGTCAACATTCGGAAACATTTCTTCCCTGAAAAGAACCCTAACAGGTAAAAGTTGCAGTCTTCATCCATTCCTCCCCTCCTCCTAACCAGGAACTTTAAATGCACACGCGCACACACACACACACCTAGGGTCATGGTTGTCCCAAAACTGCTTTTCCAAAAGGCAATTGGGTCTTTTTTTGTTTTTTGTTTTAATGCACCCACAAAAGGATCCAAATGCAAATGTTCAGAAGGGACCTAAAATTCAAGCCTGTCCCCCTTTGCAAAATTCCACTTGGAATATTAAAAAAAAAAACGACATTAAAAGCCTCTTTGGGGAGACAGGTTTAATTTTCTACTTCCCTTCCCCTCCAGAGAGGTGGTGGGGAACACACACACACACACACACACACACAGAGGATCTGGCTGGCACAATACTCACATCCCAAACTGGATCTCCCTAACCTATTCTCCTTCTAAAGTGCTGCAGGTGCAAGAGATTAAAGGATAGGATCCCTCGCATCTCAGGCCGGTTCACCTGAATTCCCTAAGGTTAGATCCCCATATCTCAACCAAGAGGGACCCAGAGGAAGTTTCCAATCAAAGCAGCGTGCGCCCCCCCTCAAAAAAAAAAACACCTCAAAGAGGGTGAAAGCTTTGTTTTGCAAACTGCGGGCATTTTGGGTCGGGGGGGGGGGGGGGGGG